AGTTTTTTGAGGAAACTCCATACTGTCTTCCACAGTGGCTGCACCAGTCTGCATTCCCACCAGTAGTGCACGAGGGTTCCTTTTTCTCCACATCCTCGCCAGTACTTGTCGTTGTTGACTTGTTGATGATAGCCATTCAGACAGGTGTGAGATGGTACCTCTTAGTCATTTTGATTTGCATCTTTTGGATGATTAGTGACTTAGAGCATGTTCTCTGTCTCTTGGCCTTCTGTATGTCCATTTTCGAAAAGTGTCTATTTAGGTCTTTTGCCCATTTTTTTTATTGGATTTTTTATCCTCTTTTTAAGTTGTATGAGTTCCTTATAAATTTTGGAAGTTAAACCCTTATCAGAGGTAACATTGGCAAATATGTTCTCCCATGCAGTGGGCTCTCTTGTTGTTTTGTAGATGGTTTCTTTTGCTCTGCAGAAGCTTTAATGCATATTTTAAATGAAACGAAATATTTAGGTGAAGTTAATAGTTATTGAAAATAGTCTAATTATTAATTTTGAGATATTTTAATATTGTTAGTTATTTCTCCATGTTAACATTGCAACATATTCTGTATGATTATTTTACCAGCAAAAATTGAAGACAATATTTGATATCCAAAACCCAACATCATTATTCTTTGTAAATGCAATGTGTGGCATCACTAATGGGTTTCCAGGTGTCACTTGATTCTGTACATTGTTTCTCAAATATTTTAGAATTTAATTAACAGGTATCTGAAGCTTGTTGAAATTCCATTTATGAAACTGTGATTCTTCTGTATTATGTTCTGGTTTCCCTTACAAAGTATGATGATTTTTAATGTGTTACTATGTTTTTGTGTTATTCTGTTGCTTCTAGAAATTATATAAAAGAGAAGTTCAACCTCCTTTCAAACCTGCTTCTGGAAAACCAGATGATACTTTTTGTTTTGATCCTGAATTTACTGCAAAAACACCCAAAGGTAATGCATATTCATGTGTAATATCAGGAATTTTATTCAATTAGATGCTTAAAAAGTAAACTTGCTTCTTAAGTAAAAACTAAATGAATTATATGTTTTCAAACGGTTGGTTTGTCTCATGAAAATGTGGATTCCACATATAGCTTTGCTTGGGCACCCACCTTTCAAGTGCATCCTTTAAATGGGAAATATTTATCAGAGAAGGAGGGACTAAAGTGAAGGATAAAAGGTTTCTTCATTTTGTTTTAAAAGTCTTTTTCATGATAATGTATTAGCGGGTCAGGGATAGGAGATAAGACATGAGATATATCACTCTGACTCTTACAGTTTAGAATTTAATGAGGTTTACTTTTGATGGAATCTGTTTTATACACTAACTCAACAAATGTTTAATACCTACAAATGTCCTCACCAGTGAGGAGGCAGCAGTGAACGAACTGACAAAAATTATAATCCACATGTAGTTTGCTTAGTAGTGTGGGGAGACAGATAATATACAATAAATCAAATAAATAATATAGTATGTCTGATGGTAACATTTAATGTTTTTGTGGTTTTATTATTTATATTCAAAGAAATGCTGACATTTTATATTACATAAATCTGTATAATTCTAATTAGATATAATTATTTGGATATTAGATTCTCCTGGTTTGCCAGCCAGTGCTAATGCTCATCAACTCTTCAAAGGATTCAGCTTTGTTTCAACTTCTATTGCAGAAGAATATAAAATCACTCCTATCACAAGTGCAGATGTATTACCAATTGTTCAGGTAAATTCCACTTAATTAGATTATTTAGTTTAGGGATAATTATTTCCTTCCATTATTTTTAATTAATTTATAATAATTTTAACTTCATTTATTTCTGTGTATAATAATGAATTAAAGATGTTTCCATATGTTTTTAAATAAAGCATACAATAGTAACTTTTAATTATACTTATGTAATCTCTTTTGGCAAAAAAATGTAACGGTGGTATGTAAGCTACTTTAGTTATTGTGTTGTCTTTGGGTATCTAGAAAGCCTACAATTTAGGATCAGTTCAGATCTGGTTAAGCCATTTATACATAATGATAAAAATTCTATAATGGATTATTCATGATTTTTTAAAGATTTAGGATGAATAGAGGTTGGTACAAAGGTATGCTTACAGTTGTGAGTATGAAAAATATAGAGTTTATTCTTGTATTATTTATTTACTAGTGGCCCAGTAAACAAAATTCATGCACATTAAAAGGGAATTAATTAGCAGAAATATTTTAATATTTGCCCTTTCTCTATAATAGAAGTGTCAGAGATGAAAGAAAATTAGTAAAATGTATATGAAAATCTCCCTCCTGTCAGAGTCTGAGGTGCGCTGCGGGACCTAGAGTCAAGTACCTGCCCACCACCCGCATGCACTTCAAAAACACAGAAGACCCAGAACCGGCCAGCCCCACCCCCGTCAAAACCCTCTGGGCAAGGGGCACAGCCTCATGTCCCCCGGCCCAGCATCAGGTGGGGGGGCAGAGTCTCAGGTTCCCCATCAAGCCCGACTGGGCGGGGAGCACAGCCTCAGGCTGGCCCAGCACCGGGGTGATGGGCATGGCCTGCCGTCCCCCGGCCCAGTGTCAGGTGGGGGGCATAGTCTCAGGTCCCCCATCAAGCCCCACCTGGCAGGGGGCACAGCCTCAGGTCCCCCGGCCCAGCACCAGGGTGGGGGGCATGGCCTGAGGTCCCCTGTCAAGCCTCGCTGGGCACGCGGAGGGCCTGAGGTACCCATCAAACCCCTCCGGGTGGGGGGCATGGCCTGAGGTCCCCCGTCAAGTCCCGCTGGGCAGGGGTTGTGGCCTGAGGTCCATTGCCCCAGCCAGGCACCATGCAACCTCAAGTCCCTGCTGTTCAGTTGTGATATTACAGCATCCCAGCTAATTTGCGTATTCCTCTATTACACAGATAGATTATTGTACTAGAGGCCCAATGCACAAAATTTGTGAAAGGGTAGGCCATCGCAGTTCAGGTTTCCTCATGGCCTCCTGGCCCCGGCTGTCTCCCAACCACCTCCCGCCTTCCCTGCCCCAGCTACCTCTATCCAGAAGGTCGTCTGGATGGTCATTCTGCTGTTCGGTCATTTGGTCAATTTGCATATTATGGCTTTATTATTATAGATTATTTTCCATACATACAACTATAAACCTACTTTTGTCCCAATCTGTATAAATTTTGAAGAGAAGATAAAAATGTGAAAATATTTCATTATTCTCAGTATTTTTTTTTAAAAAAACACAGATAAATGGAAATGCTGCACAATTTGGTGAGGTATATGAGTTGAAAGAAGATATTGGTGTTGGCTCCTATTCTGTTTGCAAACGATGCATACATACAGTTACCAACATGGAATTTGCAGTGAAGGTATTGTCCCTGAACCTACCTTTTTGGGGGTTATATATATGTAACTTAACTAATGGACATTTTTCAGTGGGGCTAGTGGAGAATGCAAAGAAAAAATGAGAAAAACCTCTAAAGACTTAATATTTTCATTTTGAATCTCTTTCCAAGACTTTATTTTGTAGAAGCATTGCATTCCATGAATGTCTTGCTTTTGAATAGTTTTATTTTAAGGTACTATGTTAACATTGAGTAATTGTAACAATTACTGTTACATTTGGATCACATTATGAGCTAATGTAGTTTTAATTACATGGACTATAATGTTAAAGAAAATGGTATTTTTATTATTGTTGCCGTTATAGGACAGTTTTAACTGTTAAAGTATAATATGGGGCAAGCATCATTCTTGAGTTTTAAGCATTTGCTCAAAACTATAATCAAATTGAAAATATACCATTAATTTTTAGTCAAAGAACATAATTTCTTTTCCTCTGAGATTTGTTTTATTTATTTCTTAGGTTATTGACAAAAGTAAGAGAGACCCCTCAGAAGAAATTGAAATTTTGATGCGCTATGGACAACACCCAAACATTATCACTTTAAAAGATGTAGGTATTTAAAATCTAAGCTAATTAAAAATCTTAGCTAATGAAGTTATGACTTGGCACTTTTTTTTCTGTCTTATTTAATTTTTATTTATTTATTTATTTTATTGTCTAAAGTTTTACATATGAAAAGGAGAGATATGTAAAACTTCATTTTTTTGAAGCTTTTCATGTCTATGGCATATTTGCTGTCATGCAACACAATCTCAAGATTCTTACATTTGCTACTTCAATTATTCCCCCCCCCATTATTCTGCATTCTTACTCTTTGTCTAGAACAGCAGAAAGGAACTATGATTGTTGGTAAATAAGAATGCCCTGCCCTAGCTAGTGTGCTCAGTGGATAGAGTGTCAGCTTGCATACTGAAGGGTCCCAGGTTTGATTCCGATCAAGGTCACATGCCTGGGTTGTGGGCTCGATCCCCAGTAGGGGGCGTGCAGGAGGCAATCAATCAATGATTCTCTCTCATCATTGATGTTTCTATCTCTCTCTCCCTCTCCCTTCTTCTCTGAAATCAATAAAAATGTAAACAAACAAATGAAAAAAGAATGTCCTGATTACTTGAATATATTCTGGCTAGTTGAGTAGTTAACATTACACCCAGCAACATTTATTATTCTGTGGTACTATAAATACAGACATTGGGAATCTGCCAAATTCTACATTTTATTTTCTTAACTCTTCAGAAATGGCTTGTTGCACTGTGGATTGTTTTTTTTAAGTGAAATTGTATTACTCTATAGTTTTGTAAAATGAACATAAGTCCTATTAATAGATGTTACTGAGTTTACGCTCCCTGGCCAGTGCACAAAGCCTTTAGGATTGCAGCTGACACAACGCAAATATACCATGGCTTGGGTCCCTAATTCACCGCAACCTCTAGAGACATGGGTCCTCACAGCCTCTTTCGTGCCAGAGCTCAGGCTGCAGACAGTTCTGCAACAGTGAAACAGAACGTCTGGAATGTATGAACTCTTTCCAACCAACTTAGCTAATTTTCAGCATTTGGGCAATGTTCCTCATTAATATCTGTAAGTGTAATTATCACATAATTTCACTCTGGTGTTAGGGGCTTAGCTCTAAAATCTATATAGAAAAAGCACCTGTATCCGAGTCTTTCAATGGTTTTGAGACTGTGCCTGGTGGAGGAAGGTGAGGCCAGTGTGTCCTTCCCCACCCTGACCCTCCCATTGGCTATTGACAGTATGGACTAGGTCCCAATGATGAAGGCTAAAGTCACCTGTGTCTCATGAATTCTCTCATCACAAAACAGACCCAGGAGACCATTCAACATTTTGAGCAACAGGCAGGGTAGAGAGAGATGCTGGCTACACAACCCACAATCGCTTTATCCCCTAGGAGACCAAATACCTTCAAGTGGCAGAAGCACTCCACAAACTAAAACTACAGAGTAGAGAGATATTGAGAGAAGAGAAGCAGCCAGCCTCAGCCCAGTCCACCCCCAGCAGCAACCCTCACTTTTCTACTGAGCAGTAGCCTGGATGTTTGCTCTCTTCTGGCTCTTCCATAGTCTTATCTGGCCCAAATCCTAGCACCATGGGTTCTGGAAGTGGGGATAAAGACAGAAACTAGACAGATAAATGTTGCCTCTTTGGACCAAGATCCCTCCAGAAGTCTAATTTGGGAGGTTTTGGCACCCAACCCTACTGAGGAGCCAAGAAACCTTCTCCAATGCTACTTATCCACGTGCAGGCCACCCTAATGGTTAAAGATCCAACAGCCTTAAAGCTGCCCAAGATGGATATCCCACTGATGGAAAGGAAGAAACAAGCACCATGGATCTATAATCTTAAATCCAAGAACAGAATATGCTCACATTCAACAGCTTCTATAGCTTTCTCTTCCAGTGACTCTGGATAGAGGGTGGCTTGCCCCCACTTCTCTATTACTCTGATCTGACATAGGAAAGGTTGTTTTTTGTTGTTGTTAAAAAAAAAACATTTAAACTGAGCCTAGAATGAGGTATCATTGTTTTTTGAGAAACTTGCCCTTGTGCAAAGCTTGCCCTTGTGTGGGAGAAGCCATTGTATATTGCTTCAATTTAAAGTTAGACTAAATAATCTTAGCAGTAATGTATGGAGGCCAAATCAATTTGTTTCATCATTTAGCCTAGACAAGACCTTAATCATTTCTTACGAGGTAGGTAACATTTGTGTTGTTCCCAGACCAAGGCTTCTTGATGGATAAGTCATGGTGTAGAGGTGCTCACTCACTAGTCTCTGGCCCTCTCTACTGCTGGTGCCTTGGGCTCCAGCCTTGTCAGTGAGGGAACCTGCATCTGTTTGAGATCTGGGCACAAAGAAAAACCAGACTTGGCACGAACCCATATCCTGTGTGGAGATTAGTAGAGGCAGTTCTTACTGCCATGCCTCTGGGCCAGTTCTGCTGGGCAGTGCTTCCCTTTCATGTGTCAACAAACACAAGTATTGCATATCCTTTGTTGCACTTTACAGTAAGATTAAGTTCATTGCATTTTGGTGGAAAACCATTTAAGGGAAAATATTCAGCCTACTGCTTTGGTATATATAAATGGATGTTAAGCTTTTTAAAAGTAAAGATGGTGGTAACTATATGTAGATTATATTTTGGATGTTCATATGAAACAAGTGTCACCGGAGCCTGATGTTTTTCTTAGAGGTAGAAGGATGAAAATATTTTTCTGGCAATCATTTTTCCTAAAACAAGCCTCATATCTTGTATAAAAATAGAGGTTACTGAGGAAGGAACCAGGGAAAGCACCTATTTATTTATCCTTGCTATGGACATGTTTGGTCATTGTTCTGAATACTGTATCAAATCCCTGCTATTTGTACTTCGGAAGGATGGTGTCTACATAGTCAGCTAAGCTGACTTTTCCATAGAGAGGCCCCAGAGTCTAAAATGATGAGAACAATTAATTTATTGGTGTTTTTTCTTATGCCATATATCCTACTTGTTTTGACAATAAAAATCTGTGCTACTTAAAAAAAATAGATGTTTTAAATGCTACACAACCCACAATCGCCTTATCCCCTAGGAGACCAAGTACCTTCAAGTACTTGGACTCCAGCCTTGTCAGTGAGGGAACCTGCATCTGTTTGAGATCTGGGCACAAAGAAAAACCAGACTTGGCATGAACCCATCTCCTGTGTGGAGATTAGTAGAGGCAGTTCTTATTGCCATGCCTCCAGGGTAGTTCTGCTGGGCAGTGCTTCCCTTTCATCTGTCAACAAACACAGCATTTTCACATAAGAAAATACTGCTCTCGCCCTAGCCAGTTTGGCTCACTGGATAGAGCATTGGCCTGGGGACTGAAGAGTCCCAGGTTCGATTCCTGTCAAGGGTATGTACCTTGGTTGCAGGCATATCCCCAGTAGGGGGTGTCAGGAGGCAGCTGATCGATGCTTCTCTCTCATCAATGTTTCTAACTCTCTATCCCTCTCCCTTCCTCTCTGTAAAAAATCAATAAAATATATTAAAGAAAAGAAAATAATGCTCTTTTCTCTTTAGAGAAGGCAGACAGATTGGCTATCACCTAGATCGGTTTGTTTTGGATAATATGATATGCATTTTGATTAATATCTATGCATATAAAGAGGTAATATACTAATTGTCATTATGGTGTCCTAGTTACAACCAATTAGCGTATTGATACGTGTGCAGCAGGGGGCGGATGGTGGGGCCAAGTTCCTGGGGGTCTGATAAGAGTGCCTGACAGGAGCCCAGACTGCTAAGAAGGAAGAGGAAGCGGCCTCGGGGAGCTCTTCCAATCTCCCTTCATGGACACCCTACCCCAGCCCCCGCACCCCTGGGGGGACAGATGGACACCCTACCCCAGTCCCGCACCCCCGGGGGGATGGAGGGGCTGACCAGCCAGGGAGAAGACCCAGCCTTGGGAGTAGCTGCAGCCTGCATCTCCGACTCCCGATCTCTTCCCCTACCACCTCCGCCAGGGGCGCCCAAAATAGCATGCCAGTGACCACCCATCAGCGCTCCCGAGGCACATGGGGCCCATGGCCCACTGCTTCCAGGCCCCCTCCACCGGAGCTGGGCACACTCTCCTCCCTACAACTCCAGATCCAGGTGGATGGAGGCCTGAGCTGCCTTTCAGGGTCAGACCCTTCCACCCGACAGCAGCAGCACGTCTCTGCAGCTGATGTGTGCTCAACCTGGCTGGGGGAGCGGCTAAACCCACCCTCCTAGCCCACCTGGCTCTGCCCTGGCCCATTCCCCACCCCGCTTCAGGAGATTGGAGCCCTGCCCTGAGCAGGTACAGCAGTGAAACAGCCACGTACAATTTAAAGAATGGCGCCAAGCAAGAAGGTTTGACAGTTACTCCCCTTTAGGCGTCGCCACCCCCTTAATGCCCCCATGACTCCCTTCCCCCCACCAGCACCTCCAGGGATGACCACCGCTACATGGCTGCTGGCCAGAGCCTGTCCCTCTAAAGCCTGCGGAACCCTCTGCAAAGCTTCCATAGCTATGGTCCCAGGAAACAATCATGCCCCCGTCCCCTAATCAGCACCTGCTACCTACGAGGGTATGAGTGGGCAGTTGGGAGTGAGCAGGCTGGCAGGGGGGGCAGTTGGAGACAAGCAGGCCAGCAGGAGAGGCAGTTGGGCCAATCAGGCCAGCAGTGGGGGGCAATTGGGGGCAATCAGGCCAGCAGGCAGAGTTGTTAGGGGTGATCAGTCAGGCAGGCAGGTGAGCGGTTAGGAGTCAGTAGTACTGGATCGTGAGAGGGATATCTGGCTGCCAGTTTAGGCCCAATCCTACAGCTGTCTCGGACATCCCCGGAGGGTCCTAGATTGATGAGGGTGCAGGCCAGGCTGAGGGACACACACCTCCATAGTTTTAAAATAGTAGTTTACATCTATCTATCTATCTATCTATCTATCTATCTATCTATCTATCTATCTATCTATCTATCTATCATCTATCTATCTATCTATCTATCTATCATCTATCTATGTATCTAATCTATCTATGTCACAAGGCCGGAATGAAAGGGTATACTTATTTTTTCAATTTATTTTCTTTGGTATAGTATTTGAATTCAACAAACATTTAAGACACCATGTCAGATAATGAACTGTGGTCAGGATGTTAAAAACTAATAATACATTTACTGTCAAAAGGAAGCTTACTATTAGTAGGGAAGAGAAATGTCTATAATACAGTAAAAGCAATTGATATAGATGCCAGAGTTCTATTTTTTTCATTTATATCCTTTGATGAAGTGTAACGTACTACCTGAAAAGTTAATAAAATTATATGTTTAACATGATCTCAGGGACTGTTTAGCCAATTTAATCTTCACTACTATATTGGCAATAAAAATATATTTTTAACACTAGAGGTTCACTATAAAAGCAAAGTAAATGTAATTTAAACATTTCATAATTATAATTATAAATAATAACATTTTTAAAATGTGTTCTTTTTTAGGTTTATGATGATGGTAGATATGTTTACCTTGTTACGGATTTGATGAAAGGAGGAGAACTACTTGACCGTATTCTTAAACAAAAATGTTTCTCGGAACGGGAAGCTAGTGATGTACTGTTTGTGATAACTAAAACAGTTGATTACCTTCATTGTCAAGGAGTAAGTTGTAGTTATATTATTTCCTTTAGTTCTGTGACTTGTATATTCATAAAATTATATATAGGGTATACCACGTAAAGTGAATTACTTTTTTTAGAGAATATATATTTTATAGAGAACATACTAATAAACCTCATAAAGTAGTGAAGGTTATAGAATTAGGAAGTTGGAAAATACTATCATTTTGTTCAATCTGCCTGTTGACCCTGATTTAGTAGAATGTTAGTTTTAAAAGTGGTTTGGATTATGTAATTGAATCTAACCTTGACTTTGAAATTATTAAACCTAATCAAATTTTTATTTTTTTATTTTTATTGATTTCAGAGAGGAAGGGAGAGGGAGACAGATAGAAACATCAATGATGAGAGAGAACCATTGATTGCTTACCTCCTGCATGCCCCCATTGGAGATTAAGCCTGCACCCCAGGCCTGTGCCCTGCCCGGGAATTGAATTATTACCTCTTGGTTCAAAAGTCAACACTCAACCATTTAACAACACTGGTCAGGCAAACCTAATCAAATTTAAAAGTGAAACATAAAAGGATTATCCAAGGACATGTGAATATTACTCATATTATTTTATACCTAATATATAAAGTTCTGGCAGTGGAAGGACTTTATTTCTTGATTCTTGCCAACCTCTCTTCCAAATAGAGTAAGAATTTTCAATTCTGAACATGTGAAATATTAATCTATTAAAGTTTGTAGTAGTGGAGCAGGTCTCATATTTTGCTACCTACCTGTTCATAAAGAAAGCAAATGTTACCAAAGAAGGTCAACTTTTATTATGTACAACTCTGAAAGGAAAAATTGTCACAAATAATTTAAAAATTTAGTCTGAATCAGTTGTAATAGTGGATATGTATGCACATAAGTATAAACAATAAATTAATGATCAACTCAGAATTGGCACAGTGAAAATTCTACATGGTCCCCTTTTATAAATAAGAAAAATAAGCCAGTACTCAGTTTTGTGTCTGGTTTAATGTACTACATTTTTCAATATCTTATCTAATAATAGACAAACAGGGTAATTGACCGTACCTTCGCTACACCTCCCATTGGCTAATCAGCACAATATGCAAATTAACTGCCAACAAAGATGGCAGTTAATTTGCATACATATGTGCCCAGTGGCTATCGGCTATCAGAGCCTGCAATCAGAGCTGAGAGGTCCCCTGCCCAGGCCTGATGCCTCGGTCAGAAGCGTTAGGCCTGGGCATGGGCGGAGCTGGGATGGTGGGGAACGGGGCGGTCCAGCGATGGTGGGGAGCAGGAGCGGAGCCTGCTAGTGCGGGGACCTGGGGGTCCCCTACCCAGGCATAATGCCTCAGTCACAGGCATTAGGTCTGGGCAGGGGCGGTGCCAGAGATTGCAGGTAACGGGCAGAGCCGGCGATGGTGGGAGCTGGGGGTCCCCTGCTTGGGCCTAATGCTTTGGTCACAGGTGTTAGGCCTGGGCAGGGGTGTAGCAGGAGATCACAGAGAGCTGTGGGTCCCCTGCCCTGGCCCAATGCCTGGGTGAGAGGCATTAGGCCTAGGCAGGGGCGGAGCCATCAATCGCGGGAGCTGGGGGTACCCTGCCCAAGCCTAGCGTTAGGCCTGGGCAGGGTCAGAGCCAAATATCACGGGGAGCAGGGGTGGAGTCGACAATCGTGGGGAGCTGGGGGTCCCCTGCCCAGGCCTAACGCCTCGGTCAGAGACATTAGGCCTGTACAGGGGCAGAACCAGCAATTGCGGGGAGCAGGGAGGGAGCTGGTGATGGCAGGGAGCAGGGGCAGAGCCAGCGATCATGGGGAGCAGGGGCTGAGCCCATGATTGAGGGACCTGGAGCTTCCCTTCCCAGGGCTAATGACTTGGCCAGAGACATTAGGCCTGGGCAGGGGCCAAGCCAGCAATTGGTGTGAACTACAGAGGAAACACCTTTTCTGACCGCTCATTGGCTAAGCTCCCTATATGCCACTGGTAATATTCTTAGTAACTTGGGTAATAAGAATCCAAATAGGTGATCTAGGGTTTTTTACCACACTCCTGGAGAAAAAAAGGAAGGTCCACTGCGAAAGTTGTCACTTTTTCATGGTGAAGGGACTGGAGTCTGTGTTGACGAAAACACCTTGCTGGCTACAGTGACTGGCAGTGGCTGCAGCAGTGGGGTGATGGGGCTGGTGCCTCCCCTGATCAGCCTGGTCGCCTCCCACAAAGGGAGGCCAGACTGTGGCTTAGGCCTGCTCCCTAAGGGGAGCAGGGAGCAGGGAGTAGGACATCCCCTGAGGGCTCCCAGTCTGTGATAGGGGGCAAGCTGGGCTGAGGGACCCCGCCCCCTCCAGTGCACAGATTTTTGTGCACTGCTCCCCTAGTTATAAAATATGAACTATATATGGCTATTATAATTTAATTGCTTAATTCTTTTTATCAAAACTCTCTAAAATAAAGGATGACCAGCTATTTTGAGAAGAGGACAATGATAAGCATCTTTTCTTTTTTATCTATTTTTATTCATTTATTTAAATTTAATGGGGTGACATTGGTTAATAAGATCATATAAGTTTCAAGGATACATTTCTGTGAAACATGATGTGTATTTTACAAGAGGGCCAAGTGTATGGTGATGGAAAATTATTTGACTTTGGGTGGTGTGCATACTAAGCACCTTTACTGTAGTATATGATTTTAGAAACTTTCAGTTTTTTATGTCAATTAAATAAATTAATGACAGAGCTGTATTTAGCATTTCTATATGCCAGGCATTATAAAAAGTATTTTACAGACTCAAATATGAGTAAGACTTGGTCCTTGCCTTTAAAGATCTTTCAGTGTAGTGAACTGCTGATTAAGATAGAACTATAGTAAATGAAGTGGATAATAATCAGTAAGAAATTTATAATATAGAGAATTTTAGAATATTTTGCATATCTAGCATTTTATTTTTTGATCCTATATTTCTGCTGATAGTTTCATGTATCAAAAGCATGTTTTCTTTTACTTTATTGAAATAGTTATAGTAACCACTTTATTTTTTAAATGTTTTATGTTTAGTCTTGTAAATTTTGAATAATACATTTTTATCGAGACACAATTCACAAATAACATTAAGGTTTACAACATTTATGCATTTTTATGCTGCAATATCATTACCACCCTAGCTTTAGCTAGCACCTCCATCATATTATTTTGAAAATTGTCTGTATATTTACCACCCCAAGTAATAAAATATACAGATGATATATTATAGAATTGTACTAGAGGCCCGGTGCACAAATTCATGCACAAGTGGGATCTGGCCAGCCCACCTCAATGGGGACCCATCGGGCTGGGCTGGCAGTGGGGAAGGGCTATGGCTGGCTGGAGGGAGAGGTCACGGACTGTTGGTTGGCTGGTCCCGCCCGCAATTAAGGTGTTTGGGGCAGATCAGGAGTCAGACTGGCCCGAAGGGGGGGGGGGCAGTGGGGGCCGGATCAGGGTGGTTGGCTGCCACAGTGCATGTCATAACCACCGGTTGTTCTGGTCATGCCGCCATTCCGGTTGCTGGGATTTTATATATACAGACGAGTAGCCCGGTGCATGAAATTCATGCACATTAAAAGGGAATTAATTGCCCTAACCTGTTTGGCTCAGTGGATAGAGCATCGGCCTACGGACTCAAGGGTCCCAGGTTCTATTCTGGTAAAGGGCGTGTACCTTGGTTGCGGGCACATCCCCAGCAGGGGGTGTGCAGGAGGCAAGCTGATCGATGTTTCTCTCTCATCGATGTTTCTAACTCTATCGTTCTCCCTTCCTCTCTGTAAAAAAATCAATAAAATATAT